TTCATAATTGACAAAGAAGCAAATTACAAAAGCAGAACTAGCAGTTTTTTTCTGGAGGTCTTTAAAATGAAGGACAAGGTCTAGGGCTGTCACAGATTCCTTACTACCTTTCTGCCCCATTTCCTCAAACATGACAAACAATATAGCAGACACCATAAAGACAAGACAAAGACAGACCCAGCGGCTCCTTCTCCTCGGTAGAAAATTAAGCCCAAGAACAACCAAGATGTAATCCCAACTCAGAAATGTAACCTGCTGTGCCTTGGGGGACTTGAACCCCCTTGGTCCCCTGACTGCCTAGGGGGACTCGAGCCCCTTCCTGGTGATCTACAGATGGAGGGATGGGATGTCTCTTCATCCACTCCAGCCCTGGGGAGCAATACTGCATCCAGTTTCTCCCCGGTGGGCTCCTCCCGGAGCTCCACAAACCCAGAAATACAGGGAACTCAAACCCTCTCTTACCTCTGGAGTTTTTTCTCAGAAATTCAGATGCTGGCTCAGTCCTCATTGTTTGATCCCGGATGAGCCCCCAAGATATTGGGGTGGTCCCCCAATATTGGGGTCCATGATTAAAGGAATGAGACTGAAACAAAGCAAAAGTCAGGCAAAGTTATATTTCATGCCGAGCATCTAGAAATGGACTGACCAGTCAGGCCACCTTGGCAGAGAGGGAACCCAACTCAACTGCACGGGCTAATTTTTATAGGGAATAGGCCATGCAGTTAGGCTGGCCACACGCAGGTGGCCAATAGCATTACAACACTCACATAAAATTGCAGTTATGTTGGGTCACATGCAGGTGACCAATGAGGTTACAACTTATTCCTAAGCAGTTGTTTAAACTAGCCTACCACTTTGGTCAGTTTTGGCATGCAGGTTTGGTGTGTGTGTGTGTGTGTGGGAATTGGGGATTGCATTCCTTGGTGCGGGGGGAGGATGTTATATATGTGCTGTTACTGATTGGACTTGTCCACCTGGCCTCTAGGGTCTGTTATCAGAGACTTGCAATCCACATTTTTCCTAAACTTGTAAACAACAAGATGGATGTTTAACCAGGGTGGAGTCATGTAGGCTCATTGGGTCCTAACATTAAGATGGGGTCCCAGCAAGTAGCTGTACAAAGGAGTTGCCATTTAACAAGGCAGTTTATGAATACAGTATTTGCTGATCAATATCACTCACATGACACTGACACACACATACACATACCTCCTCCTCCCATTGTGGTTTTCTCCCTTTGGAAACTCCTAACAGGAAGTCTGGCTTCTTCAAAACCAGTGGTGAAAGAATCTAATAGCAGGAATACCATTAAAAATGTATGCTGCAAAATCTTGTTTTTATAATCACACACTGATCCATTGTGTATTGTGTGTGTGTGTGTGTAAAAGCAAGCCATTGTTCCCACTCGTTGACATAAAGAGGTGGAGGTGCGGTGGGGGCAATCCTAAACTCTGTGTGCCACATTTTCTATGGTATAGGACTATGTACATTCTTGCTGAATCTTCATTATAGTTTGTAATTGTATGACTAAATAGGATGCTATTTTTCTGTAAGAAAGAAGAAATGGATGTACCTCTCCACCTATGCCTGTTAATTCCAAAATTCAAACTCATTCCACAACTCATGATCATGGAGAAATAGTTCACATAGAATGTGAACGGAATTTTGAGATCCGGGGATCAAGAGAAATACGCTGTGAACATGGAGAATGGACAGAGCCTCCACAATGTATTGGTTGGTAATGTCTTGAGTTGGCTTTCCATACATTACAGTCTGCTCTGTAGCTAAGGGGGCCTCTTGGTTTTTGTCTTTCCAGAAAAAGCAAGGATAACCTGTGAGCAACCACCCAGCATCCAGAATGGCGCACCAATCCAAAATTCCAGGGCTTATTCCCATGGGGATAAAGTGGAGTATCGCTGTGATATGGGATACCAACTCCAAGGACCAAAGGAGATAGATTGTCATCATGGACAGTGGACATCTCCCCCAGATTGTGTCAGTGCGTATGTTACCATTACCATCGACAGATAAACCTGTAGGGCATGACTTTCCATTCTGCTTATTTAGCTACATACTCATAGTCACAGACCATCGCTCATAACCTAGAAGTACATTGCTACTACCATGTATTGTGCTACTCATTTGTGTCGTTGGGACAATCTAGAAGTAAAGTCAGGGTCAACAATGTGGGAACCCAACAGAGGCTTAAAATAGATTCGTGATGTCACATGACCTGTGTGAACGCTAAGGCCTCTGAGCATTGAAGACTCACCAGAGTAAGAATGCTTCTTTTGAGACCAAGAAAAGGGCACTCCATGGCTGTCTTCCTCCACCTCTTCCTGACCTACACCATGAATGCACAGCACTCTCTTCATGACCTTGGAGCATTGCAGCAGACAGTATGTGTCTGGCCATGGTGAATCTCATGTCCTTCTGAGCCCATCCCTGCTCTTCTGTTTGATTTGAGGTTATCATCAGGTTGAACCATCACCCTTGGGTGCTACCCAGCCTGCCTGATCCCATTTCTGGATCAGATATTGAACATATGGCAAAATCCAAGAAAATACTGAATAATAGAGGAAGAGAAAGGTTCTAAAGAGACACAGTGGCCACTTCATCCATGGGTTGATTGAGAACTGAGATGAAAACAGAGAGAAGGAAGGAAATAATAGGAGCCAAACCCAGAAACAGTAGGGGACTGGATTCAGGCCTTTTAGCTGTAGAACATCACTTCCCTCCCTGTGCTAATATTTTAAAATCTGTACCACATTTCCTGCACAAATAAGAAAAGGGATAAAAAAAGAATCATTTTTCTTAACTATTTGAGTTGAACATTTTTTTTTCATTTAGCATAAAAGTAATTTTAGAATGCCTATGAATTTAGAAATCAATTGTCCTAAATTAGATATTACCGATACTGAGGTAAGGTAATTTAGGTGAGTGGATTACATCATGATATTGGTATAAATTCACATTAATTTTAAATCCCCCTCTTTCCTTAGAACAAATTGATAACTGTGGGCCTCCACCTAATATCACAAATGGGTCTATTGTTGGTGGAGTGCTGGCAAGTTACACACCTGGGTCATCAGTGGAGTACAGGTGCAATGAGCATCATCGACTGAACGGGTCCAAAATGTCCTATTGTGAAAAAGGAGTATGGTCATCTCCCCCTGTTTGCATAGGTGAGCGGGGAATGTGCTGAATGGCCACTGTGATGTCTGTCCCTATTCCCATCGTGTTTCATAGCATAGAAATCATTTGTTTTTTTTTTTCAGAGCCGTGCATCCTGAATGAAGACGACATGACCAAGAACCACATTGAGATCAAGTTTAAAAATGAAGGGAAAGTCTTCCATGGAGATTGGGTAGAGTTCATGTGTAAGGAGGGCTATGAGCTGTCTTCATCCACCCACTTGTCTGAACTTTCTGTGAAGTGCCACAGGGGGGAGCTGAAGTACCCCTTCTGCATTAGAAAAGGTAACATGGTGCTGCCTGTAGACCATTAACCACCTTGGCTGGACTAAGTAATGTCTTGGCTTCAACTGCTAATCTGTTAATTGGGGTTGAGCCAACGGCCAATGTTGAGCCAGCACGTTCACTTACATAGGATGACTATGCAAACATATTTGATGCAATTCAAATGCAATATGAGTCCTTTTCATTTTTACTTTGGTTTCTATTATCAATAGGTAGCTGTACAAAGGAGTTGCCATTTAACAAGACAGTTTATGAATACAATATGTCTTGATCATTATTACTCACACAGGGCACATATACACACATATACAAACTTCCCCTTCCTGTAGTGGTTTTCTCCCTTTTTAAAAATGTCTTTTATTGTAAAGATACTGTACAGAGGGGTTACAGTTACATGAGTGAGGTAATGAGTACCTTTCCTATCGAGTGTTGTTACCTTCTCTCTTTGAAAGCTTCCAGTGTGATGCCTGGCTTCTTCAAAACCAGTGGAGGGTCTGACAGCAAGAATACCTTTACAAATGTATGCTACAGAATTGATTACACATGGATCCATCATTTTGTGTGTGTGTGTGTGTGTGTGTGTGTGTGTGTGTGTGTGTGTGTGTGTGTAAAAACTAGCCATTATTCCCACTTACTGACATAGAGAGGTGGACACAGAGTGGGGGCAGTCCTACGCTCTGTGTACCACATATTCTATGGTTCCAGATCATGTATATTCTTGCTGAATCTTCATTATAGTTTGCAATTGTATGACTAAATAGGCTGCTATTTTTCTGTAAGAAAGAAGAAATGGATGTCCCCCTCCACCTATGCCTGTTAATTCCAAAATTCACACTCATTATCATCATCATGAAGAAGTAGTTCACATAGAATGTGAACGGAATTTTGAGCTCCGGGGCTCAGACGAAATGCGCTGTGAACATGGAGAATGGACGGAGCCTCCACAATGTGTTGGTGGGTAATGTCTTGATTATCTTTCCCTGTAGTACAGTCCCCTCTGTAGCTAAGGGGCCTCTTGCTTTCTGTCTTTCCAGAAAAAGAAAGAATAACCTGTGAGCAACCACCCAGCATCCAGAATGGTGCCCCAATCCAAAATTCCAGGGCTTATTCCCATAGGGATAAAGTGGAGTACCGCTGTGATACGGGATACCAACTCCGAGGGCCAAAGGAGATAGAATGTCGTCATGGACAGTGGTCATCTCCCCCAGAGTGTGTTAGTGCGTATGCTACCATTACCATCGACAGATAAACCTGTAGGGCATGACTTTCCATACTCATACTCATAGTCACAGACCACTGCTCATAACCTAAAAGCACATTGCTATTACCATGTATTGTGCTACTCATTTGTGTCCCTGGTACAATCTAGAAGTGAAGTCAGGGTCAACAATGTGGGAACCCAACAAAGGCTTAAAATAGATTTGTGCTGTCACATGACCTGTGTGAATGCTAAGGCCTCTGAGCTTTGCAGGACTCACCAGAGTAAGAATGCTTCCTTTGAGACCAAGAAAAGGGCAAGCCATGGCTGTCTTCCTCCTCCTCCTGACGTACACCATGAATGCACAGTACTCTGTTCATGACCTTGGAGCATTGCAGCAGACAGTATTTCTGTGTCTGGCCATGGTGTCAGATCCTTCTGAGCCCATCCCTGCTCTTTTGTTTGATTTGAGGATATCATGGGGTGAACCACCACCCTTGGGTGCTACACAGCCTGCTTTGCTTCCCATTTCCGGCTCAGATATTGTACATATGGCAAAATCCAAGAAAATACTGAATAATACAGGAAGAGAAAGGTTCTAAAGAGAGACAAAGATAAAAAAAAAGGTGGATATTTCATCCATGGGTTGATTGAAAACTGAGATAAAAATAATAGGAGCCAAACCCAGAGACAGTATAAGACTGGATTCAGTCTTTTAGCTGAAGAACATCACATCCCTTCCTGTGAAAATATTTTACGATCTGTACCACAATTCCTCCACAAATAAGAAAAGAGATAAAAGAAGAATCATTTTTCTTAATTACTTGAGCTGAACAGGCTTTTCATTTAGCCGAAAAGTACTTAAAAGGTCCACATAGAAATCAATTATCCTAAATTAGATATTACCAATATTGAGGTATTGTTATTTATGTAAGTGAATTATATCATGTTATTGGTATAAATTCATTCTAATTTTAAGTATACCTCTTTTCTTAGAACAAACTGAGAACTGTGGGCCTCCGCCTAATATCACAAATGGTGTTATTGTTGGTGAAGTACTGGCAAGTTACACACCAGGATCATCTGTGGAGTACAGGTGCAATGAGCATCATCGACTGAACGGGTCCAAAATGTCCTATTGTGAAAAAAGAGCGTGGTCATCTCCCCCTGTTTGCATGGGTAAGGGGGACACGCTGAAGGGCACTGTGATGTCTGTCCTTTCCTGTGCTATTCCCATCGTGATTCATACCCTAGAAATCATTTGTTTATTTCAGAGCCGTGCATCCTGAATGAAGACGACATGACGAAGAACCACATCGAGATCAAGTTTAAAAATGAAGGGAAGGTCTTCCATGGAGATTTGATGGAATTCATGTGTAAGGAAGGCTATGACCTGCCGCCCTCTGAACTCTCTGTAAAGTGTCACAGGGGGGAGCTAAAGTACCCCTCCTGCATTAGAAAAGGTAACACGGTGGTACCTGTAGACCATTAACCACCTTGGCTGGAAATGTATACCTATGACTTAATAATTCCTTGCAATGGGTTTGAGCTAACTTCCAACGTTTAGCCATCACATGCACTCACATAAGATGACTCTGTGAACATATTTGAATTGCAATGAGTCATTTTCACTTTAGTTTCCATTATCTTTGGGTAGCTGTACAGAGGAGTTGCCATTTAACAAGGCAGTTTATGAATACAATATTTGCTGATCAATGTCACTACAGGTGACACATACACACACATTCACACACCTCCCCCTCCTGTTGTGGTTTTCTCTCTTTGGAAACTCCCAATAGGGTTGCCTGACTTCTTTAAAACCAGTGGCAAAAGAGTCTAACAGCAAGAATACCTTTACAAATGTATGCTTCAAAATTATGTTTTCATAATCACATACTGATCCATTGATGTGTGTGTGTGTGTGTGTGTGTGTGTGTGTGTCTGTGTGTGTGTGTATAAAAGCTAGCCATTGGGCTGGGAAGGTGGCTCAGTGGTAAAGCGCTTGCCTTGCATGCTTGAGGCCCTGGGTTCGATTCCTCAGCACCCATAAGCAAAAAAAAAAGCTGGAAGTGGCGCTGTGGCTCAAGTGGTAGAGCGCTAGCCTTGAGGTGAAGATCTGAGGGGCATCGCCCAGGCTCAGAGTTCAGGCCCACGACCGGACCCAAAATAAAACAAAATAAAAGCTAGCCATTGTACCCACTTATTGACATAGAGAGATGGACATAGGGTGGGGGCAGTCCTACGCTCTGTGCGCCACATATTCTATGGTTCCAGATCATGTACATTCTTGCTGAATCTTCACTATAGTTTGCAATTGTATGACTAAATAGGCTGCTATTTTTCTGTAAGAAAGAAGAAATGGATGTCCCCCTCCACCTATTCCTGTTAATTCCAAAATTGAAAGTCATTCGACATTTCATGATCATGATGAAGAAGTAGTTCACATAGAATGTGAACGGCATTTTGAGCTCCGGGGCTCAGATGAAATGCGCTGTGAACATGGAGAATGGACGGAGCCCCCTAAATGTGTTGGTGGGTAATGTCTTGATTATCTTTCCCTGTAGCACAATCCGGTCTGTGGCTAAAGGGGGCTCTTGCTTTCTGTCTTTCCAGAAGAGAGGAGGGTAACCTGTGAGTACCCACCCAGCATCCAGAATGGCGCACCAATCCAAAATTCCAGGGCTTATTCCCATGGGGATAAAGTGGAGTATCGCTGTGATACGGGATACCAACTCCAAGGACCAAAGGAGTTAGAGTGTCATCATGGACAGTGGTCATCTCCCCCAGAGTGTGTCAGTGCGTATGCTACCATTACCATCAACAGATAAACCTGTAGGGCATGACTTTCCATTCTGCTTATTTAGCTACATACTCATAGGCACAGACCACCACTCTTAACCTAGATGCACATTGCTACTACCATGTATTGTGCTACTCATTTGTGACTCTGGTACAATCTAGAAGTGAAGTCAGGGTCCACAATGTGGGAACCCAACAGTGGTTTAAAATAGATTCGTGCTGTCACATGACCTGTGTGAAGGCTAAGGCCTCTGAGCCTAAGGACTCACCAGAGTAATAGTGCTTCATTGGAAGCCATGCACTGGTGACTCAAGCCTGTAATACTACCTACTCAGGAGGCTGAGATCTGACCTTCGTGGTTCATTCTAGCTCGGGGAAGGAAAATCTCCAATTAACCACCAAATAACCAAAAGTGGTGCTTACCTTGAGCTGAAGAGCTGATAGACAGTACCCAGGCCCAGAATTCAAGTCCCACAACTGACAAAAAAAAAAAAAAAGAATGCTTCCTTGGAGACCAAGAAAATGGTGTACCATGGTTGTCTTCTTCCTCCCTCCTCCTGAGGTACATGAATGCACAGTACTCTGTTTGTGACCTTGGAGCATTCCAGCAGATAGTATTTCTGTGTCTGGCCATGGTGAATCTCATGTCCTTCTGAGCCCCATCCTTGCTCTTCCGATTGATTGGATTATATCACTTGGTTGAACCATCTCCCCTGGGTGCTATCCAGCCTCCCTTGCTTCCCATTTCTGGATCAGATATTGAATATATGGCAAAAATCTAAGAAGAATGCTGAATAATTGAGGAAGAGAAAGGTTCTAAAGAGACACAGTGGCCATTTCATCCATGGGTTGATTGAGAACTGAGATGAAAACAGAGAGAAGGAAGAAAATAATAGGAGCCAAACCCAGAGACCAGTATGGAGTGGATTCAGGCCTTTTAGCTGTAGAACATCACTTCCCTCCCTGTGCAAGTATTTAAAAATCTGTACCACAATTCCTTCACAAACAAGAAAAGAGATAAAAGAGGAATCACTTTTCTTGCTATTTATAATTCTTTATTAAAACTACTTGAGCTGAACATTTCTTCATTTAGCAGAAAAGTAATTTTAGAATGCCCATGAATGTAGAAATCAATTGTCCTAAATTAGATATTACCAATATTAAGGTATAATAATTTAGGTGAGTGGATTTTATCATGGTTTGGTATAAATTCATACTAATTTTAAATATACCTCTTTTCTTAGAACAAATTGAGAACTGTGGGCCTCCGCCTAATATCACAAATGGTGTTATTGTTGGTGGAGTGCTGGCAAGTTACACACCTGGGTCATCTGTGGAGTACAGGTGCAATGAGCATCATCGACTGAACGGGTCCGCAATGTCCTATTGTGAAAAAGGAGTATGGTCATCTCCCCCTGTTTGCATGGGTGAGGGGGACACGCTGAAGGGCACCGTGATGTCTGTCCTTTCCTGTGCTATTCCCATCGTGTTTCATACCCTAGAAATCATTTGTTTTTTTCAGAGCCGTGTACTCTGAGTGAAGACGACATGACCAAGAACAACATTGAGGTCAAGTTTAAAAATGAAGGGAAAGTCTTGCATGGAGATTTAATAGAATTCAAATGTAAGGAGGGCTATGAGCTGTCTCCATCTACCCACTGGTCTGAACTCTCTGTGAAGTGCCACAGGGGGGAGGTGAAGTACCCCTTCTGCATTAGAAAAGGTAACATGGTGCTGCCTGTAGACCATTAACCACCTTCCAATGTTGAGCCATCACATATACTTACATAGTTTGACTGTGCAAACAGAGTTTAATTTCAATGAATCATTTTCTCGTTTATTTTAGTTTCCATTATCTTTGGGTAGCTGTACAAAGGAGTTGCCATTTAACAAGGCAGTTTATGAATACAATATTTGTTGATCAATGTCACTCTCAGATGACACATACACACACATACACGGGCCTCCCCCTCCTGTTGTGGTTTTCTCTCTTTGGAAGCTCCCAGTAGGATGCCTGACTTCTTTAAAACCAGTGGCGAAAGAGTCTAACAGCAAGAATACCTTTACAAATGTATGCTTCAAAATTGTGTTTTCATAATTGCTGATCCATTGACTTGTGTGTGTGTGTGTGTGTGTGTGTGTGTGTGTGTGTATAAAAGCTAGCCATTGTACCCACTTATTGACATAGAGAGATGGACATAGGGTGGGGGCAGTCCTACGCTCTGTGCGCCACATATTCTATGGTTCCAGATCATGTACATTCTTGCTGAATCTTCACTATAGTTTGTAATTGTATGACTAAATAGGCTGCTATTTTTCTGTAAGAAAGAAGAAATGGATGTCCCCCTCCACCTATTCCTGTTAATTCCAAAATTGAAAGTCATTCGACATTTCATGATCATGGAGAAGTAGTTCACATAGAATGTGAACGGCATTTTGAGCTCCGGGGCTCAGACGAAATGCGCTGTGAACATGGAGAATGGACGGAGCCCCCTAAATGTGTTGGTGGGTAATGTCTTGATTATCTTTCCATGCAGCACCATCTGCTGTGTGGCTAAGGGGGCTCTTGCTTTCTGTCTTTCCAGAAGAGAGGAGGGTAACCTGTGAGCACCCACCCAGCATAGAGAATGGCGCACCAATCCAAAATTCCAGGGCTTATTCCTGTGGGGATAAAGTAGAGTACCACTGTGAAAGGGGATACCACCTAATCGGGCCGAAGGAGATATCTTGTCATCATGGACAGTGGTCATCTCCCCCAGAGTGTGTCGGTGGGTATGCTACCATTACCATCGACAGATAAACCTGTAGGGCATGACTTTCCATTCTGCTTATTTAGCTACATACTCATAGGCATAGACCACTGCTCATAACCTAGATGCACATTGCTACTATCATGTATTGTGCTACTCATTTGTGTCCCTGGTACAATCTAGAAGTGAAGTCAGGGTCAACAATGTGGGAACCCAACAGAGGCTTATAATAGATTCATGCTGTCACATGACCTGTGTGAACGCTAAGGCCTCTGAGCTTTGAAGGATTCACCAGAGTAAGAATGCTTCCTTTGAGACCAAGAAAAGGGCACGCCATGCCTATGTTCCTCCTTCTTCCTCTTGACCTACAACATGAATGCATAGCACTCTGTTCATGACCTTGGAGCATTGCAGCAGACAGTATTTCTGTGTCTGGCCATGATGAATCTCATGTCCTTCTGAGCCCCATCCCTGCTCTTCTGTTTGGTTGGAGGTTATTACCAGCTGAACCATCACCCTTGGGTGATGCCTGCCTTGCTTCCCATTTCTGGATCAGATATTGAACATATGGGAAAATCTTAGACGAATGCTGAATAAGTAGAGGAAGAGAAAGATTCTAAAGAGAGACAAAGGTTAAAAAAAAAACCAGTTAACATTTCATCCATGGTATGATTGAGATGGAAAGCAGAGAGAAGGCAGAAAATAATAGAAGCCAAACCCGGAGAATAGTATGAGAGTGGACTCAAGTCTTTATGCTGAAGCACCTCATTTCCCTCCCTGTGCCAATATTTTAAGATCTGTACCCACAATTCTTCTCAAACAGGAAAAGTGATAAAAGAGGAATCATTTTCCATGCTATTTATGATTACTTTATTAAAAAAAACTACTTGAGCTGAACATTTTATTTAGAAGAAAAGTAATTTTAGACAGCCATGAATTTAGAAATCAATTGTCCTAAATTAGATATTACCAGAATTGAGATATGGTAATTTAGTTAAGTGGATTGTATCGGGGTATTGGTATAAATTCATATTAATGTTAAAACTACTTCTTTTTTTTAGAACATAGCAAGCACTGTGGGCCTCCGCCTAGTATCACAAATGGGACTGTTGTTGGTGGAGTGCTGGAAAGTTACAAACATGGAGACTCAGTAGAGTACAGGTGCAATGAGTATTATCTACTGAGTGGAACCAAAACATCCCATTGTCGAAAAGGAGAGTGGTCATCTCCCCCTGTTTGCATGGGTAAGTGGGAAACATGCTGAATGGCCACCCTGATGTCTATACTTTTCAGTGCTATTCCTATTGTGTTTCATAGCATAGAAATCATTTGCTCTTTCAGAGCCATGCACTATGAATGAAGATGACATGACTAAGAACAACATCGAGATCAAGTGGAAACATGAAGGGAAAATCTTGCATGGAGATTTGATAGAATTCAAATGTAAGCAGGGCTATGAGCTGTCTCCATCCACCCTGCTGTCTGAACTCTCTGTGCAGTGCCGCAGGGGGCAGGTGAAGTACCCCTCCTGCAATAGAAAAGGTAACACAATGGTGCCTATAGACCTTTAACTGCCTTGGCTGGAAATTTATACCTGTTACTAAATAATTCCTTGGCTTCAATTGCTAATCTATTAATTGAGATTGAGCCAACTTCCAATGTTGAGCCAGTACACATACTTAGATCAGATGATTCTGGGAACATATTTGAATTTCAATGAGTCCTTTTCATTTTTATTTTAGTTTCCATTATATGTAGGTAGCTGTACAAAAGAGTTGCCATTTAACAAAGCAGTTTATGAATAAAGTCCATGAATATCGTCACTTCACCATTCTCACCCATCCCTCATTTTTTTTAATTTTGTAGGATATAGATTGGATTCTTGTCTGAATTTTTCTCCCTCTTCTTCTCTGAATTCCACAACTAACCTCCAAATTCACACACTATGATCAACTAGGATTCATCCCAGGAATGCAAGGCTAGTTCAATATATGTGAATCAATAAGTGTAATACAACACATTAGTAGAAGGTCAAGAACCACATGATCATCTCAATAGATGCAGAAAAAGGCTTTTGACGAGATCCAACACTGCTTTATGATAAAAGCTCTGGAGAAGTTAGGAATGCATGGAACATTCTTTACTAGAATAAATGCTGTGTATGTCAAAAGAAAGAACAGCCAATATTATTCTTAAGGGTGAAAATCTAAAATGAATGCTTCTAAAATCAGGAATGAGACAGGGATATCTACCATCTCCATTCCTCAATATAGTACTGGAATTCCTAGCAAGTGCAATAAGACAAGAAAAAAGAATAAAGGGGACCCAAATAAGCATAGAAGGTATAAGACTGTACCTTTTTTCAGATGACAGGATCTTGTATTTAAAGGATACTATAGGCTCCTCCCCCAAGCTACTAGGGCTGATATAAAAATTTGGTAAGGTAATCAACCCATAAAAATCAAGCTTTTCTGGATACTAACAATGAGAAGATTTGGACTGAAATCAGGCAAGCAACTCCACTATTTGTAATATATGTAACCTCAAAAAAATACTTAGGGCTTAATTTAATCATTTTCTTTTTCTTTTTTGTTTTGCTTATGTGGTGCTGAGGAATTGAACCCAGGGCCTCAGGCATGCAAGGCAAGCGCTCTACCACTGAGCCACCTTCCCAGCCCTCATTTTCATTTTTATAAAGAGAAGAATCGAAAGGCCTTTGAACTATCCCCAGACCATCAAGGGAATAATTAATCTTATGTCAGCATTCTGCAATGATGTGAAATAGCACCCGCTTAGGGTTCATGGGGAACATTGTCTCAGAAAAGGTTTTGATTCATAGTGAGAGATTTTCTTTAATCCCTGGACAGTATAGGGATTATTACACTTTTTAAAATTTTGTTCTTTCATTAACTTTTATTTTTTATTTTCATTTTATTATCCTTAAATAGATGCATGGAACGGGTTTTAATTCAACATGTCAGTTTGTGAGTGCAGTGCATCTCAAACAATTTCTTCATTCTCCCCAACAATTATTTTTAATAAGAAATCAAAAGGAAGATAATATAAATGGCTTTAAGAGAGATATCACACATTTTCAGGTAGACTGTAAAGAAATTGTAACTGTCAAAACTTGGATATTAATGTGCATTTGAATTTTATAACATGTAACTCATCATCAGAATTAACTTTATACTATGATATAATTATAGAAATACTTTATTTTATTAGGAAGTCCTGGGGTTCACAAGTGAAAGGTGCTCTACCAGTGCTCTACCACTTGAGCCATACATTCAGCCTGACTTTTTGCTGGAGATGGAGTGGATTTTTCTCCTCAAGCTGGTTTCAAACCTCAGTCATTCAGATCCCAGACCCTTGAGGAGCTAGAATTACAGGTGTGAACCATCTGCACCACTGCCACAAAAATATTTTAACAGTTAAAAACTATTTTGAGTACTACATTAATGGCCTTTGAGACAAAGAAGTAATCCTTGTTTTATTTCTGTAGCAATTATGAAAACTCTGGATGCTTATCATAGCAATTCATCATGTACTTTAAAATTGTCTTTGCAGAATCTAAAGGAAGGTGTGCACCTCCTCCACTTATTAAAAATGGAGTCATTATTAGTTCAACTGTAACCACTTATGAAACTGGTTCCTCTGTAGAATACAGATGCTTTGAGCACCATTTCCTGCATGGACATAAGGAGGCTCACTGTGTGGAGGGAATATGGACTCCTCCACCGGTATGTTTAGGTATGTGCATGAAATGTCACACATCCCTAGTCAGTAAGTAAAGCAATGACACATACTCAACTTCCTGTCACGTTTGCCTCAATTACAACACTAACATCATGCTTAACTTACTGCTATGGGATTATTTTTATTTAGATTCTTATTTAATCACTTTTTAAAAAATCTTTCCTCTAGGATACAAATAACTAAAGGTCCAATTTATTTTGATAAATACTAAGTGCTAACCACACATCTGATACTGTTTGAGTTAGGCAATGAGATGGGTAAGCATAGTAGTATAGCTAAACATGTCAGTAATTACCATTCAGTATGATTATTGACATGGTAGAAAACATGAGTATAGCAGGGCAACAAAGGGAAGGTCGTGTCAATATGATCAATATGGAAAGATGAAGCAAATCAGGCACTGGTGACTCATGTTTATAATCTTAGCTAAGCGGGAGGGTGAAATCTAAGGATTACAGTTCAAAGCCAGCCCAGGAAGAAAAGCCCACCATACTCTTTATCTCCAATTAACCATAAAGAAAGGAACAAAATAAAGGAAACAAGGAAGGAAACAAGGAAGAGGACAAAGAAGGAAACAAGGAAGGAAGGAAGGAAGGAAGGAAAAAGGAAAGAGGAGGAAAGGAGGAAGAAAGGGGAAGAGAGAAAGAAAGAGAAAGAAAGAAAGAAAGAAGGAAATGAATGTCTTCTTAGTAAAGTATCCTGACAAATCACATTTATGAAGAATATCAGACCATATACCAATGTCCTATCTTAATAAGAAGAAGTATTTCTTTGTTTTCAGTTCTGACTTATTTATTTTATCTTATTTCATTGGCCAGGACTTAGGTATACTGTTGGCTGGATAATGTGATGAATATCTTTATTTGCTTTTCAGTCTCATGATTAAACTTTTAATAGTTCCCCCTTATATATCACCTTTAAGAATCAAATTTTACATACTTCCAAAAATAGGTAAAAGATAAAGAAACTTATCTTTATTTTATGGAGAGCATTTAAAAAATCATCTTTAATAAGTACTTTTAACCTTGCCAGTATCTATTATAATATCATTATTACTTTTTCCCGTGCATTTAGTGAATTATATTGACTCTTTTTGAAAGTTAAACATAGTTATTTTCTTATAAGACATATCACAGTTGTGATGAATTATGTTTATTACATCCATTGGTTTATTTGCTAATATTTTGTAGTTTTACATCTTTTTTTTGTGTGTGATAATACTGTACAGAGGGGTTACAATTACATGGGCAAGATAATGAGTACATTTCTTATCAAGCATTGTAGCCTCCTCCTTTGTTTCCCCTTCCCATCCCTTCCCTTCCTCCCCCCACCCCCCAATCCTCTTCCTCCCCCTCCCCTTCCCCCCCTCCCCCCCACACCAAAGTTGTAAAGTTCGTTTTCAACATAACGACTTGTACATCTCATTGTTGCAATGGGTCCACCTGTATCCCTATTTAAACAATTTGTTTTTCCCCTTCCCCTCCACAAATTATACCAACATCAAATACAGTGAAAGCAGGGGTTATAATATAAGAAATAATCTTATAAATGTGCTAGAAACAATTGCATAAAAGAAAAAAACATTTGAATACATATCTTAGGATTCATTTCCCTAACATCACCTTATCTGACCTTTTCTGCTTGACTCAGACGTATACTAGATATTGCAAATAAGGGAAACCATGGGACCTATGTTTCTTTGGGCCTGGCTTAATGCACTTAATATAATTTTTTCCATGCCTTTCCATTTCCTAACAAATGGGGAAATGTCATTCTTTCTGATGGAGGCATAGAATTCCACTGTGTATATATACCACAATTTCTTGATCTATTCATCTACTGAGAGGCATCAGGGTTGGTTCCATATCTTAGCTATAGTAAATAATGCTGCAATAAACATATTCGTGCTGGTAGCTTTAGTGTGGTCTTGTTTGTAAACATTTGGGTAAATGCCCAAAAGTGGGATTGCTGGGTCATAGGGGAGCTCTATGTGGAGTCTTTTGAGGAACCTCCATACTGCTTTCCAAAGTGGTTGAACAAGTTTACACTCCCACCAACAATGCAGTAAGGTTCCCTTCTGTCCACATCCCATCCAGCATCTGTTGTTATTAGAGTTCTTGATTATAGCCATTCTAACTGGAGTGAGGTGGTATCTCAATGTTGTTTTGATTTGCATTTCTTTTATGGCTAGGAAGGTTGAGCATTTCTTCATGTGTCTATTGGCCATCCTTCTTTCCTCTTCAGTGAAGTTTCTCTTTAAGTCTTTAGCCCACTTATTTATTGGGCAGTTGTTTCTTTGAGGATTTGTTGTTGGGGGATTTAATTTTTTGAGTTCCAAGTATATTTTAGATATGAGACCCTTGTCCGTTGTATGGTTAGTGAAGATCTTCTTCCAATCCGTGGGCTTTCTATTGATCTTGCTAGCTATGTCCTTTGCCATGCAGAAGCTCTGCAATTTCATGCAATCCCATTTGTCCAACCTTTCTTTGATTTGTTGTGTTTCTGGGTCTCTATTAAGAAAATTTCGGCCTGTGCCAAGGAGACCTAGGGTTTCTCCTATTCCATCCTGTAATGTTTTCAGAGTGTCTGCTTTGAGTCTGAGGTCTTTGATCCATTTGGAGTTGATTCTGGTGCAGGGTGATATATAAGGATTTAGCTTTAGTTTTTTTTACAAGTATTTAACCAATTTTTCCAGCACCATTTACTGAAGAGGCTGTCTTTCTTCCATTCTATTTTTTTAGCTCCCTTATAAAAGATTAGATGGCTATAGGTCTGTAGGTTCATTTCTGGGTTTTCAATTTTATTCCATTGGTCCTGAGGTCTGTTCTTGTGCCAGTACCAAGCTGTTTTGATTACTATGGCTTTATAGTAGAGTTTGAAATTTGGTATTGATATTCCTCTAGCAGTGTTCTTTCTGTTGAGGATCGTTTTTGCTATTTGGGGTCTTTTATTGTTCCATATGAATTTTTGGATTGCATCTTCTATTTCCTTGAAGAATGAGGTTGGAATTTTGATAGGTATCATTGAATTTGTAGATAGCCTTGGGAAGTATTGCCATTTTCACGAGGTTGATCTTTCCAATCCAGGAGCATGGGAGTTTTTTGCCACTTTCTAAGTTCTGTTTTGATTTCCTTTACATCTGTTTTTATAAGGGATAGATTGGTCTGTTACTGTCTTTTCAGATTTGGTATCAAGTTTTTGTTGTTGATCTCACATAGGACTTGGGTTTTTTCCTCTTTCTGAGTTCTCTGAGATTGGTGATATTTCTTTTGTATTAATTCTAAGAATTCACAAGCAAGCTGCCTAACTCTTTAGTCTTGGTGGAAAGATTTTAATGGCAGTTTGAATTTGTTCAATAGACCCTGACAATTTCTCTTCTAAGGTCAGTTGCATAGGAAAGGTTTTGTGAAATCACATCTGAAGTGTCTGAATAGTTGACATAAGGTGATTCATAACATCCTTTTATCCTCATCTTAATATCTTAGTGATATATTTTTGTTATTGCATGTGTCTCTTTCATTCTTGACCTATCTTATAAATTTTATTAGAGTATTACTACAAAGTTCCTCTAGAAACTTCATTAATCTTTTCAAATAATGAATATTTACATTTGTTAATCAATATTTACATTGTTAATGTTGCTTCCTATTATTTCTCTGAATTCTTTCTTCCTATTTTATTTTACTTTTTTTGGGGGGGGGAAGGGGGATGGAGGAGGGGTTGGTCATGGTGCTTGAACTCAGGGCCTGGGCACTGTCCCTGAGCTTTTTTGTTCAAGGCTAACATACTATCACTTTGAGCCATAGCACCACTTCTGGTTTTCTGATGCTTAGTTGGAGATATGAGTCTCGTGGACTTCCCTGCCCAGGCTGGTTTTGAACTGTAATCCTCAGTTCTCAGCCTTCTGAGTAGCTAAGGATTACAATGGGAGCCACCAGTGCCCGGCCTCTTCTATGTTTTCTTGAGATCATTTTATTACTCTTTTTAAAAACAATTATTTTATTGTAAAGATGCTGTACAGAGGGGTTACAGTTACATGAGTAAGGTAATGAGTACATTTCTTGTCAAACATTGTTACACTCTCCTTTGTTTTTCTCCTACTGAAGTATCCCAGCTTCCTGGGGCTGGTGGGACTCGAACCTACAATCAGCGAAAGGAATCCCCAACATTCAGTCAATTGGCTAGGAACCTTTATTAGCCATGACCACTGATCTCTATTACACCAAGACAGTGAAGACCAGCAATGAAGTCAAATAGCTCAGGGTATTTAAAGGCAAGATTCATGGTGGGGTGGGGTCGGGGGTGGGGGTACTCTTAGGTGGCCAGTGGTAGTATCATAATCAACAAGCAAGTTACAAAAGCAGAACAAATGGTGATTACAATTCTGGTAACCAAGGGAATGTAAGGTGGCTGAGCCTAGATAATTTCTCACAAACAGCCTGGTGCCTAGGCCAGAGATAGGGCTGCGCACCCAGCTCCAAGGCCTTAGTCAGGTGTGAGCTGGGAAGGCTTTGCCCTAGAGAAATGCACGTAAACTTAGGAAGACATTACTTCCCCAAATGGTCTAGAGGGAGATAAGCCATCCTTAAAAATGCAGATGCCTAGTGCAGCCATCCTGGTGTTTGAATGACTAACCTGGAGTTTCTTTCTACAAAGAGGTTCTGCCTTACATGTTTTGCCCTATTTCTGCTAGCTACATGGAATTTTCTTGGTTCTAACACTACTATCCCTCCCCTTCCTTCCTTCCCCACCCCCCACTCTGCAAGTTGTAAAGTCCATTTCCAACTTAGTGTCTTGTGAGTATCATTGTTGCATTGGGTCATCCTGTGTCCTTGTTTCACTGTTTTGCTATTTATTACTCTTTTACAGGCTTACTTTGGTGGTAACCTGGGTTTCTGATTTATGGCTTTTGTATTATTTTAATGTGTGGATTCAAGCATGCTTACTTTCTTTTGAGTGCATTATTAACTTTATCATATGTGTATAGATGTATACTACAATTATATATATTTGTATATTCTCTTTGCATTGTTTAGTAGTTTCTTTAAAGTTCTAAGCATTTGGAAGATTTTCTAGTTTTCATTGTTGACAAACACAGAAGAAACCCATATTCTGAAATTGATATTTAAAAATGCTTTTATTGTAGAAAAAATCAAATAGGTTCTTTGGATGACCAGATTCTTTTAAGTTTTTGCTTTTGTTTTTTCATGCATTTGGGAAAGAACACAGGGATATTTTCAGTAACTGTCACTCAAAACAATGCAGTCTTCCTCTTAAAGAGAGAAAGTGGTCAACAAGTCTGCAGCAGTTTTGAGAATCTAGCTTATTCCTTCATTTCCACAAAATATACCCCATCTAATAATCAGTGCTTTGACAGGATATTTCATTTGATATTTCTGAGGAAGGGAAAAATAGCATAATTTCACTGAACATTAATAAATGTCAAGGCCTGTGAAAAATAGTCCTCGTCTGTTTGTTTATTTGCTATCTTTGAACATCTTATGCCCTAAAACTATCAAGATAGATATACTTTCCCTCAATATATAGGAACACACGAGTAAATAAGAGTTCTGGGTTTTGGTGTGTGCATGGGTAAGAGTATTGAATATTTTTTCTGACTCTTTTACTAATTCTGCCTCACTTGGCTCTCTTTAGGATTTTAAAGTCATCATGAACAGTTAACATAATAATTCCTATGTGATCTTGGTACATCTTTTTTTTATGCTTTCTTTTTTTTGTGGTGGGGGGGGTCCGGTCGTGGGCCTGAACTCTGGGCCTGGGCGCTGTCCCTCAGCTCTTCAGCTCAAGGCTAGAACTCTACCACTTGGGCCACAGTGCCACTTCCGGCTTTTTTCTTTTTGCTTATGTGGTGCTGAGGAATGGAACCCAGGGCCTCAGGCATGCAAGGCAAGCGCTCTACCACTGAGCCACCTTCCCAGCCCCTCTTGGTACATCTTATACCAAGAGGTATCAAGATAATTTTCTCTTATTTACTATTTTTTTTTTCCTCCAGAGCCTTGCACATTGTCTCATCATGAAATGGAAAAGAATAATCTACACTTGAAATGGCATTTTGATGATAGGCCATTCATTTTGCATGGCGAATATGTTGAGTTTCATTGTAAGAGAGATACTTTCCTAGTTGAGTCATCTGTTATCAGAGATGAAGTTAGAGTGAAATGTGACAAAGGATACCTGAAATATCCAAGGTGTGTCGAAAGAGAGAGGTAAGAAAAATCACTTACAACTATTTTTTTACATTATCATTCAAAATTGATGTTATAAAAACTTCAGAAATATTGTACTCCATAGTACTCATATGTCACAGCTGTTAGAAAAGGAACCCAGTCATAATGTTAGTGATCCTTGGACAACTGGATAAAAAAATAACTTCATATGCATGGTAATTAAGTGTACAAAATTGAACTATATCTCGAAATTTTTTCATACTTTTCAGTATAAGTTCTAAGTTTGTATGTTACAAATGTTGGGAAGTATACTAAGGTAAGCTTTCTACTGAGACAAGAACAGGATTACAATAATGATGAAAAATATATTTCTTTTCAGCATCATATTTATGCATGTGTTTAGAATCAATTTCTGAAGTGTTTCCACAAATATTACACCAACAGAATAAAATGATGTATACCATTTACTATGGTCACATGTTGACTTTTAGGCAGATATTATATCAATGTAATTACACTATATAAAAACATTACTTGCCAGGCGCCAGTGGCTCACGCCTGTAATCCTAGCTACTCAGGAGGCTGAGATCTGAGGATCATGGTTCAAAGCCAGCCTGGGCAGGAAAGTCCATGAAACTCTTATCTCCAATAAACCACCAGAAAACCAGAAGTGGTGCTTGGCTCAAGCGGTAGAGTGCTCACCTTGAGCTGAAGAGCTGAGGGATAGTGCAACAATCAGTGTGGTGAAAGAATCTCAAAGTGGTGTGTTATCTGAGGGAGAGGCAGGGATGAAAAGGGAGCCAAGCAATAGCAGAAATTAAAAAAAAAAAGTTGCAGATTGAATAGTGTGGGGTGGGTAGAGATAAGCACAAGACTGATAAATTAGGCAAGAGCCAAATAAGGGAAGGCTCTTGAATTTATTTCAATTATGAATTTAAATAAATCAATGAGGAATGAATGAAAAAAAGATTGATCCAAACATCAAAATATTGCAGTTTACTAAGGCCTATTGACTTGACTACATCTTTGTATACATGCAAAAAATTACATTTACATTTGAATTTACCATTTTCTATTAATTGTTAGGAGGTTTTTATGGTTACTTTTAATTCAGTATTGTTGTCAACAGTAAGGAACCATACACAATGGTAATGATGTTATATTAAGAGATTTATTAAGTGTGGAAGAGATTGCCCTTCAAAATACAAAGTACTTTCAAAATGAATACTTATTGGGTCATAGGGGAGCTATACTAAAGCTATCAGCACAATCATGTTCATTGCAGCATTATTTACCATAGCTTTGGAACTAACCCAGATGCCCCTCAGCAGATGAATGGATCAAGAAAATGTAGTATATATACACAATGGAATTCTATGCTTCCATCAGAAAAAAATGACATTGCCCCATTTGTAAGGAGATGGAAGCCTTGGGAAAAAATCATATTAAGTGAAGCAAGCCAGACCCAAAGAAGCATAGGCTCCATGGTTTTCCTCATTTGTGATAATTAGTATATGTCTAGGATAGTCCTAGAAGAGGATCGCAATAGCTCAATAGCTACGTATATATGATCCTATAAGATGGTGCTAAGCAAAATGAACTCCAAGGTATGGAAATGAGGTTTTTCTTTGTTGTTGTTTTTAATGTACTTTGTGAAGTTATTTCTTTTTTCTTTCATGTTTTTTGTTTGTATGGTTTATCCCCTGTTGTCAGTGTATTTGATTTTGGTATCCTGTGTCTTTTATACACATTTTTCTGAATGGAAGCGGAACAACAAAATGGTGGGCCGAAGGCCAAAGGGAAAACCAATGCAACAGTAATACTTACAAGACAATATTAGAAATGAGCTGTAAAACTTGGTGGGGGGGGGAGGGTTAGGAGGGAGGGAAAGTAGGAGAAAAATGAGGGAGGGGGTAACAAGTTTGACAAGTAATGTACTCACTACCTTATATATGTAACTGTAACCCTGTGACAATAAAATTAAAGACATTAATACTTATTTCAAGCTTTACAATCATACATCTCGTCAAAGCAACTGAGAGAACGAAATGATCTTTGCCATTGTTATATTTGAGGAGGAGTGTTTTTCTGGTCCTTGGGCTTGAATTTAGAGCCTGGGTGCTGTCTCTGGGCTTCTTTTACTCAAGGCTAGTGCTCTAGCACTCAAGCCACAGCATTACTTTTGGCTTTTTCTGAGTAGTTAATTGGAGATAAGAGTCTCATGGACTTACCTGGCTGGGCTGGCTTCGAACTGTGATCCTCAGATCTCAGTTTCCTGTATATCTAGGATTACAGGTGTGAGCCACCAAGGAACACTGGAAGAAATCAGACTAAAAATGCCAATTGGGTTTTTTTCATTCCCTCAAAAGCATCAAGTCTGAACATTGAATAGGCCGAGTAATAATGTAAGGTACAAAGACACAGACATGAGAGTAATGAGTTTTTCAACAACTGAGCAGCAAGGGGAGGTAAAGGAGGTGTTTTTGAATAAGGAGTTGGAGTTTGAATATGTGTACATTCTATAGCAGACAGATATGTTTATAATTCTATATCCAACTATCTATCTATCTATCTATCTATCTATCTATCTATCTATCTATCTATCTATCTATCTATCTATGAGGAAGATGGGAGTTTCTGGGGAATCTTTGCTGAGTAGATTGCAGACAAGCAAATGAGACCAGAGACCCGTGGTAGGAGATGATACTGGATTTGGGCTGGAATGAAGGCCGCATGGTCAGATGGTTTGTCTCCTCTGTGAATGAGAAGAAGACACCTGCTGAGTATGTGGAGTGGGTGGAGAGATGGGGAGAGAATTTGAAAGAAGAAGCATAATTCAACCAGGGGATTTGGCAGACTGAAATAATTTCCTTGGGCTTATCACGCAATCAGCTGTGTTGGGATGGACATTACACTGATGATCATTTTGCTTTAAAGAAGGTTAGGTTGGCTAGGAAGGTGGCTCAGTGGTAAAGCGCTTGCATGCATGAGGCCCTGGGTTCGATTCCTCAGCACCACATAAGCAAAAAGAAAAAAGCCAGAAGTGGCACTGTGGCTCAAGTGGTAGAGTGCTAGCCTTGAGCTGAAGAGCTGAGGGACAGCGCCCAGGCCCAGAGTTCAGGCCCCATGACCCGACCCCCCCCCCCCCAAAAAAAAAAAAAAAGAGGTAAAGAAGGTTAGGTTGTAAGATCATTTGCATTCTGGTGGATATGAAAGCAAACTTTGCTGAGCTCATGTTCCCATGCATGCAGTGCAGGGACCCAGGGTGGAGGATGAAAGAACCACTAACATGAGGATGACCCGAGGCAGATCCTGAGCACAGGAGGGCTGCACAGAACCTGAATATTTCAAAGGGAAGTTAAGAATTCATAGATATCTGTCTTTTTCTTCATTAAAAAAAAAGAAAGATCAAAAACACTGGAGACATTCTCTATTAAAGCTGAGTTCAGGGGAACTCAGCATGGTTCCTTCAAGGAGAAAATGGAGAACATGGGAAGTCTCAAGTCTCACAAAACGGAGAAGCCATTTTCTTCTAAAATAGACATGAAAGACTGATTATTAGAAAATTTGCCAGGTGTCAGATTTGCAGGCAGTTTAATTTGTTTTTATGTATTTTTGAAATAGGAAAATAGATATTTAGCTAATAAATATACTTGGAACAAAGAAGATTATGCTATGAGTAGGTAAAATTCTAAAAATTAAAATGAGAATATATTCATTGTTTTTGTCAAATATAAAGCCAACCCTTTGGCATTATGAACAGTCCTAATAGTATGAATTAAACAGGATAAAGAATGGAATTCCTTTTATTCTATCTAATACTTAGGACCCATTTTCTTATTTCAGAGGCTAGTCCTAAATATACTCATTATATATGTCTTTACATACTAAGTGGGATATGTATTTGATATCATATTTGTTATTCCTGAACACATGAATATAATAGATATATCACTATATCAATATTTGTAATTCTTTTTTTTGGAAGTACTGGAATTTGAACACAGGGCCTTGTGCTTGCTAGGTATGTGCTCTACTACTTGAGCCATAAGATTGGCCATTTATTTCATTTTTCATGATAATGAAAGAGCATCTCATAATCTGGCGATAAGAAAAATTACTTATTCTTTGATTGATGGACTTTTTAAATGTTAAATCTTCCTAACTTTCTTTCTTTTTCCTTTCTTCCTTTCTTCCTTCCTTCATTGCTTGTAGGTAGAAGTCAAATGAGGAATCCTAAAATGAAATGGAAGAACCCTAAACATATTTACAAGGACAAATATAAATACAAAATAAGGAGAAAGATCTCAAAATCTAAAATAAGATGATGATAAGAGGAAGGAAGAAAAATTTTATAAGTTATTTTTATTACCTTTACTGAGAAGTATAAATAGACTTTACCAAAAACATTTAGGAATAGAGTAGTATTAAACCATGAGCATGCGCTCAACTGCCTGAAAAGTACACTTCTCCCATTAAAAAAAGTGAATATAAAAACATTGGCAAAGATGGCAAGAACATAAAGATTAAGGAAAATAGGCCAAAGTGTACAAACACACAGTAGACATATCAAACTTGAGAAGAGCTTAGCTTTCCTATTCCAAGAGGAAATCAGAAAACCACCTAAGAACCTTCTGATCCACATGACACTAAGTCATTTGGTAGATAGGCGCCCTTACTTCATGTATGTTTCTCAGCAGCTGAAGCATTCTGTCTCCCTGTATTGATAATTTTGTCCTGTACACTATGTTATGACTATCTGAGCGACCTTTGGCAGAAAAAGGATTCCTTACCCATGTGCTAAGTGGAGCAAGCTTGTTGCAGTGTAAAAAGAGACTATTATTCTACCTGTGTGAGATATCTAAAGTTATCAAGTTTGCAGAGAAAGAAAATAGGAGTTGGAAGAAAGGGAAATGGTGAGTTATTGTTTCATGGACCCAGAATTACAGTCTTATAACATGAAAGGCTTCTTGATATGGCTGTACAATGGTGTGAAGATATTGCAATTACACTATAAAAACAAGATGGTACTACTAAGTGATG